GTAGTTGCTGGATATTACCACTTGCCAGCTACATTATTCTGCTTCTTGGCTTTTTCATTCTTTGGCCTTCACAGACTTTTGCTTTGAAATGTAAAAATTTCCACGACTTGAAAGAGCGAGCTTTTATAAAGACACAAAAATACACTGGAGCCAAGCTTTAAAAGCTAGAGCTATTTGCCAAAGATCAAGGAAGGTAGAGACCATAGTTCCTTCAACTTTTTATTCTAAATTTCTGTTGGATGGTCAAGTGGGCAGCTCTGTTCTGTGCTTCATGATCACAATCTCCAAGTGAGGCGTTTTAGGTTCAAGCCTTATATCAATGTTTGAGAATATAATTCAGCCTGACACAACAATTGAATAGGAAGGAGATCCTCATTTCAAAAAGGTCTTTGAATGAGGCTTTAAACCAAATATCTTGCTGCTTGCTCTGGCGGCTTCGGTGGATGTTAAAGATTTACAGAAGAAGAGCAAGAGAGTTCAGTATTTTGGCCAACAACCTTCCCTCAACGGATTCCCACAAAGAATCACTTTTAATTATGCATCACTTTGCCGACTGTGCCTCAAAATATCTTCATTATCATACATTACATACCCTAACATAGTAATTTTCAAAAGTACTTGGCGATTTTTCAACACAACATAGCATGATATAAATTTAAGTGTTACAATAAACCATTATGAAACAACTGTTTCTAGATAAAATTCAACTTTTAAAAATTTAATTTTTTTCATGCTTTCTCCTACACATTGTACAGTGACCAAGGCAACAGGCACAGAATTTATTCCCAAGTTTATACCAGTGGCACTGCAGACCTACAGTTAATTTTGGCAATTTTATACTTTTTTTTAAATTTCTGCTTTAGAATTTTTTTTTTAAAAAAGCATTTTGTAGACATTGAACTATGTAACCAATAGTATTACTGTGGACTTGCATTTACCCTCCACCCTCTTCAAGGGGTTCTCTGCAGCTATTTTGTCTAAAGAACAGTTTTTCCCTCTTTTGGCTGCGAAGGAAAGATTCTACGCTCCTTCCAGGTTAATGACCAAAGTTAAGGAAGATGAAAAATGAAGACTGAGAAATTGGAGTACAATAAATAACTAGTGAGAAATTTATAAACAAATAGCAAACGTTTCTACGAGTATATAAAAAAGGAAAAGAGTAACTACAGTTCAATGTTAATTCCTTAGAGAATGAAACAGAAAACCATAATGGAAACAATGAATCAGCAGAGGCAGTGAACAAGTATTTTTCTTCTTTCATTTTAACCATTGTTTTTAAGTTAACCTGTTGAGAGATGTTCTTACACACCTCTGGAGCAGGTGGGACATGAACCCAGGCCTCTTGGGTCCAGGGGCAGGGACACTGCCACTGTGCCTTGTTCAAAGCAATATGAGTGTAACTAGCTAGGCCAGCATTTAAAAGATCTTGTCTTTTTATTTTTAATTGTGGGGAAAGGGGACTGTTTTAAATTCTAGAGTTATATGCCAATGGTTCATAATTGTTTAACTGTAGCTAGAGTCTAATTATTTGTAATAGTATTTTTTTGTTAAAATACTGACACCTTATCCATGCCTTCTTCAACTTAGGTCTAAAAGATAAGTACATTGGGGAACTCTGCATGCTTTTTAAAATATTTAACTGTAGTGACAACTCCACAATAATGGGACTTGATTTCCAGACCATTCCCCACAGCAATAACCTAGGATTTTGGAATACTAGTTCAGGGGCTTTACTTCCACGGCACCACTTCTCCCAAGGTGTTCAGCAGAAGTGTTACAATTCATTAGCTGAAAGGCGGAATAAGTGGGTGGGGGGGGGGGGGGGGGGGGGGGGGGGGGAGGGGAGGTGGCGGGAAGAGAACAGGAAGTATGTGGTAATCAACAGGATGTTTCCTTGCCCATGTTTGACCTGATACCATAAGACATTGGTGGGGTCCACAGTCAATGCTGAGGACTCCCAGGGCAACTCTTTTCTGACTGTATACCACTGCCCCGCCATCTCTGGTACCTCTGTCCTGCCAGTTGGACAGGACAAGCTCACAGATGGTGATGGTGGCATTTGGGACATAGTTTATATGATTCTGTATATAAGACTATGTCCAGTTGTTGCTTGACCAGTCTTTGGGACAGCTCTCCCAATTTTGGTGCAAACCTCCAGATGCTGCTAGGGAGAGCTCCGGAGGGTTGACAGCTACAAAAACAACCCTGTCATTGTCAGTTCTTAGGTTGATGCCAGATGGACTGTTCCATTTTGTTTCCTTGTTTAGACTTCAGAGCAGTTTCATACAACTCAATGGCTTGCTAAGCCATTTCAGAGGTCAGTTAAGAATCAACCACATTTCTATTGGTCTCAAGTCACATGTAGGCCAGCCCTGATAAAGGTTGTCAGATCTCCTTCCTGAAAAAAGATTAGTGAAACAGATGGGTTTTTATGACAAATTAACAATGGTTACATGATTGTCATTAGGCTAGCTTTTTAATTCTAGCTACTTAATTCAAATTTCACCAGCTGCTAAGGTGGGATTCAAACTGTTGCCCTGAGAATATCATGCTGGGGTTCTGGATTATTACTGCAGTGAAACTAATCATTTTGCCAACGTCTCCTCCTGTCTTTACAGGAGAAAACAGCAAAGCATTCCAAGAATACTGGAAAATAGGAGAAGAATAAGAGAAATCTAAAACAATCACAATTTCTAAAGGAAAAGTAAAACTAATAGGACTAAAATCTGAAAAGACACCTGGCCCAGATGGCCTGTATCCTCAGGTCTGAAAAGAATGGATGCACTGAGTTCAATCTTCCAAAATTCCCGAGATTCAGGAAATGTTCCAACAGATTGGAAAATTGTAAATGGAATGCCTTTACTGAAGAAAGGAGGGAGTCAGAAAGGAGGAAAATATGGACTAAGTCAACCTAATGTTGGTTATTGGGAAAACGTTAAAATCCATTATTAAAGAAGGTGGTAATGCAGTTGTAGGACATTTAGAAAGTCATAATACAATCAGGCAAAGTCAACATGGTTTAGTTAAAAAGGAATCATGGTTGACAAATTTAAGTTCTTTTGAGATGTAACAAACAAACTGTACAAAGAGAAACCAGAAAATTTACTATATTTGGATTTCCAAAAAGCAAAAATTGACAGGTATTATGTAAAAGGGTTTATTGTACAAAGTAAAAGCACATGTTCTTGGGAATGACATATTAACATAAATGGAGGGAAAATACAAACCCCAAAAACTGTGGATGCTGGATATCAGAAACACATACAAATTGCTGGAAAAACTCAGGTCTGACAACATCTGTTGTGAGAAAGCATTGTTAAAGTTTCAGGGCCAGTGACCCTTTTTTTAGCAGGGCACAGATAGAGGATTGGCTGACTAACAGGAAACAGGAGGTTGAGATAAATGGGTCATTTACAGGTTGAAGAACTAATACAAGCAGAGTTCCAAAGGGCTCAGAGGTGGGGCCTCAATTATTCATAGCATATTAACTGTGTGAAGGGGCAGGCTGTACAATGGCCAAAGTTTCTACCAATACAAAAAGGTGGGAAAATAAGTTATGAGAACCATACAAAGAGTCTCCAAAGGGATACGGATAGATTTAATGAGTAGGTAAAAAATTGACAAATGGAATATACATATGGCTAACTATAGGGTTGACAACTTTGACCGGAAGGAGAGAAAATCAGAGTGCAAGTCAAATTAAGAGAAAGTGCAGAATGCTGTAGTATAAAAGAATCTGGTATCGTCTACTTATCACATCACAAGAAGTTAGCATGTAGGTACAACTAGTAACTTGGAATACAAATGGAATGCAGGTCTTTATAATAAAAGGGTATTGCGAAGATACAAAAGTAGGGAAATCGTGCCAAAATTAAGTGCACAAGATGTGCTGTGCAGATTTTGATCTTCTTAATGAAGGATATACTTACATTGGAAGCAGTTTGGAGTAAAAACTTGATCAAAAAGAAATAAGTTTTAGGTATCAATAAATGCTTATGCTATCTTCTCCATGTTTCTACTGTGTATCAGCAGTTAACAACATAAAAATATAGAAGTTAGGAGTAGCAGCAGGCCATTTGCCCTCTCGAGCCTGTTCCACTATTTGATCAGATCATAGCTGATCTATATCTAGACTGTACTTTCCTGCCTATTGCATTTACTCACTCATGGGATATGGGCATCACTGGCTGGGCCAGTATTTATTGCCGGTCCCTAGCTCCCTTGAGATGGTGGTAGTGGGCTGTCTTCTTGAACAGTTGCAATCTATTTCCCATACCCTTGATTTCTTTTGTGCTGGAAATACCTATTTATATTCAAAGGACTATGTGGGGATATCTGGAAGATTTATGACTATTTGGCCTTTCATTGAATTGAAAATGATTGTACCATGTGATTTTGTGGAACTAAGCAATCAGATTAATGTGTGTAATAAGTCATCTGCTGTTTTTGCTGAAAGTAAGGTGACTTTGGAGAAGCTGGTAAGCAAAATTCAAGAAGGCAAGAAATGGTGCTTATGGAATAATTTCCGGAAAAAACTGAGTTTGAAGAAACTATAGGCTTAAGCTAATTAATCTCCTAGCAACTTTCTTTGGATTTAGAATTCTGTTTTACAGACCCAGCAGTCTCAAAATTTAAATCTAATGCTGATTGTGCATCTTCTTTGTAGGCGTAACTTTGTATTCCTCGCTTTGTTCAATCACCCTATGATCTTTGTATATTATGATCTGCCTGTACTGCATGGAAAACAAAACTTAAGTAATGTACTTAGATACACGTGACAGTAATAAATCAAATCAAAGACAGAAGGTAAAGAAGCTATTCTAATGGATGCAGTATCTATCCCGCAATGCTGTTTCCTAAAGTCCTTAGGAATATCATCATTTCCAAATGCCAGTATTTCTGTCTACCTGGTAAAACCCAAAGTCATGGAAAGTGACAATTCGCCACGATTCAAATCCAAATGGATTGGAATCTGAAATCAAAATTTAAAATCAACTTACAGCTGTCAGAAATTCAGCATTGTTGACAGGAAATTCAGCGGACATAAGCAGTTAGCAAATTCTATTCTTCACTTCCAGACCTTTGGCCCACTAAATGTGGTTTTTCTCTCTTTAGCTCTTTTAAAAAGCCATAATTTCCACAGAGACTGGTCTTGTCTACTGTCGTGAGAATCTGTGTGAGAGATTAATGGGACATAGTTTGAATTTTGGATCATAGCTCAGGTATTAACAAGAGAGTTTGCCACTTACTTTAAGATTAACTTTTGTTCATAATAAACAGACATTTTGAGCTCATTAAAAGGTCCCCTGAAGACATTTATTTTGTTTTTGATAGTAGTACTAAAAAGAAAAGCAATTGGCTATTTTGTTAATTGAATCAACATTCACATTAATGATGCAATGGTTGGAATAGAGGGGCTTAATTATCAATGCATTCCCCCATCACTTATCTGTCAAATGGTCTACATAATTCAGCCTTAAAAAATTCAATGACCTTACCTGAACTGCCTTCTATTGTCTTGTTTTCGTATTATACTTTGTAATATAATGATCAATGCACCCTTTAGGTTCTCTCACACTTCCTTCCTTTATCTGATTGAGCTCACTTCCCCTTATTAAGTTTGACATTACTTCCTCTCTTGTAGGGCTTCTTATATATTGAGTCAAAAGTATACTGTTAAAAACTTCCACCTTTGCCTTCCATTTCCTCCCAGCTTATTTGGAAGCAGTTGAAATCCCTCATCACTATCACTTTTTTTAATTCATACGTTACCTAAATTTTCCCCCAACCATTCTATTACTTAGTGGTCCGTAGCATATCCTATTAGTCTGAAATGCCTTACTACACTTTATCTTCTATTGACATGAATAATGTCTTATCACATTGTTTTTTTTTTCAGTACTGCCATTTATGATATTTCTAAATAACACAGCTACCCTTTCACCCTTCTTCCCCAATTCTATTTAAATACATTATTTCCTGCAATAGTTAGTGTACCAATCCTATGCTGTTTGCAGCCTGGTTGCATTTATTCTCCTTAGATCCATTTCCTGCACTTTATTTCAAAAACCCTTAATGCAAACAAATTATTAAGATTCAACACAAAAGCATACTCATGTAGAGATCAAATATGATGAAAATAATCACCCATGAGACATATTACTGCTCAGCAAAAACCTGAAGCTAAGTGATTTTTAAATAGATCGTAATCTGGAATGAAAGCTACTGAAGCAAAATTCTTATGGCGAGGACACAACTTGAATCATATTCTGAAAACATCAATTGCTCTATTAAAATACAGCTAGAAATGAACAGCATCCACAGTTCTTTTGGTTTTTATTTAAAACAGTGATACGTTGCAATCAGTGATTTATTTGTTCACATTTTCGACGATTTCATGCTTTGGTTAGGTATTATAAGTCAATTGATATAGCAAAATTTGAGTCAGGCTATTGAGGTTGGTTGGCTCGCCGAGCTGGTTTGTTGTTCCGCAACAATATGCGGAACAACAAACCAGCTCAGCGAGCCAACCAATCTCAACACCCACAACCGAGCTACAAATCTACTCCAAAACCTTTGAGTCAGGCTATTATGCAAAAAAAAAACTAAAAGCATGGTCATGTGGCTGAACTACTGCTAAACCGGAGAGTAATTGCTTGGAAACAGCATTAGTCACAAACACCTGATCTCTAATCTGTTATGGTTCAAGGAAGTCTAGGAGGAAATGCTCATACCAGAAGCAGAAAGTTCCTTTCGACACTTAATTTAGTATTTTACACAAATTGTTAATGTTGACAGGAAGATAAGAATAGTAGACTGTTTAACTTTGTAATTTTACCCCAGCCATTGAATAAGATCATTACCCCACTTTGCCTCATATTAATTAATATCTTTCAAACATCGAACAATTTTGGATTTTAAATTAACAATTGATCAGAAGACAGTAGCAAACTTCTACCACCCTAATGTACAGAAATGTTTCTCAAATGCTCTCCTGAAAAGTCTGGCTCTAGTCTTCAGACTGTACCCCAAGCCTTGGATTTCTCCAGCCAGCAGAAAATGTTTCCTCTCTCTTCACTTCACTTTGCAACTTAAACAACAACCAAATCACATTTTACCTCTCAATTTCATGTAATAAAGCTCTAGTCTGTGTAATCTCTCATTGCTTCCGTCATCCAAAGTGTTGTGGCAAAGAGCTCCATAGCTACCAAATTTAAAGAAGTGCTGCTAAGCACATTGCAAAAAGAGATCAACTGTCTGCTCACAGAAATGAAGGCAAAATAAAAGAACATACTGTCTTATAACTACATTATTAATAACCACAACAGTTTGGTAAAGCAAACTAACCAAATTGGCAGTGTCTCAACACCACTCCTGTAACCACTTAGTACAATGAATGCTTTAACAAGAAAGAAAAATAGATTGAGTTAAAAGGTAAATAACCAATTACCTACTTAGCTGCTTGCAAATCAAACCTTTCTTCTTTTTTGATAAATGTATTTTGTAGCTTTATTTAGTGATCAATCGTGGTTGTGCTCAGACGCTCTTCCACAACAGGATACCTCGATACCAGGAATTGCAACATTTTGGAGGCGGAGTAGTGGAAGAGGAGAGAGGCTAATGACATTGGAGTTGCTTTTGTACTGAGACTGCAGTGACACAGTTGATTGTAGGGGACTGTTTAATCTTGAAGTCACAAAATCAAACTACAGCCACCCGAGTACGGAATTAAATCAAATTTCACTGCATTCTTCCCTTTATTTGCTTTCCCATTTTACTAATCACATTCTATGCAGCTGGTAACGTTCAGAGAGCTCAACTTGATAATTTGGTTTTGAAACCGAATAACAAAGTCAATGATCAGCTAGTTGGCATTCAAAATTGTTGACATATTTACCAGAGTTCAAAAACAAGCTTTTGAATAACATGAACAAACCATTCGAATTGGTAGAAGTTAATCTGATTTACACAAAATAATCATGATCAACTGACTCTGAATTCACCTACACCTACGGACAAGGCTTTATTAAATTTAACTTGGAACTGAAGATGGTGAAGGGCACCAAGAGGAATAAAATCAACACAACACAGTGTGGAGCAGCAGAGGACAGGAAAGTTGACGTTTCAGGTCAGGACCTTTCTCCAGAAATGGGGAGGGGAAGGGAGCTGGGAAATAAAGAGAGAGGAGGGGTGGGGCTGGGGAACAGGTAGTTGGGATGGTGATAGGCGAATGCAGGTAGAGAGTAGTGGGGATTGGTTAGTGGGATGGGAGGGGCGGATAGGTAGGAAAGAAGATGGGACAGGTTGTGTCGGGTCAAGGAGTCAGGAGGGAAGATGGGTGGGGTGGTGATAGGTTGGATGCAGGTAGTAGGTAGTCGGGATTAGTTGGTGGGAAGGGTAGGGAGGACAGGTGGGGAAGAAGGTGGACAGATTGTATCCGGTCAAGGGGGCGGGGATGAGGAGATTTTAAAATTGGTAAATTCTACGTTCAGGCCATCAGGCTGTAGGCTCCTGAGGCAGCAAATGAGGTGTTGCTCCTCCAGTTTGCGTGTGGTGTCACTGTGACACTGGAGGAGGCCCAGGATGGACATACCACCCAGGGAGTGGGAGGAGGAGTTAAAATGGTTGGCGACTGGAAGTTGTTTTTGCAGATGCTCCATGAAACGGTCCCCGAGTCTACGCTTTGTCTCACCGATATAGAGGAGTCCACATCAGGAGCAATGGATTCAGTAGACCAAGTTGGAGGATGTACAGGTGAACTCCTATCGAATATGAAAAGTTTGCTTTGGGCCTTGAATGGAGGTGAGGGGGGAGGTGAGGGGGGAGGTGAGGGGGGAGGTGAGGCACTTCCTGTGGTTGCAGGGATGGTGGTGGGGTTAGTGGGGCGTGTGAAGCAGACGAAGGAGTCGCGGAGTGTGCGGTCCTACAAAAGGCAGTTAGGGTGGGGGAAGGA